TGATGGCACAGTGACCTTTTTCTCCGATCTGTTCACTGGGTCCATGTCTGATAAAGAAAGTGTCTAGAAAAGTGGTTTTCTCAAGCTGGCTTTTAATGACGACGACTCAGTCATGGCTGACAAAGGCTTTAAGATTGGGGACGAACTGACCAACATTGGCGTTCAGCTGAACACACCTCCCTTCCTCCGTAGAGGACATTTTACAAGCGAGGAAGTAAGGGAAACGGAAGCAATAGCCTCGCTTCGGATACACGTAGAGAGACGAATTCAGAGGATTAAAAATTTTCACCTCTTTGACCGGCCTGTACCAATCTCAATAGCTCCCATTGTCAACGAGATGTGGGCTATTTGTGTGATTTTGAGTAATTTCCAAAGTCCCTTGATCAAACCCTGTGAATAGTGAATGCATGTCCACAACTTTGCCACTGTTGCACTCGCATGTGGTTTTTTCTAAACGGGCCAAATTCATGAACCATACCTAAACAAATTTTTTGATGAAACCACAGGTTACATCGGCATGTTATCCAATTTACGTGGCATGTTATCCAACAGAATTTTTTTTTTTTTATGCGATACAAACCAATGTACAGGAAGTCACATTGCAGGGCTCCCAGCCTCTGTTGAGGTGGATTTGGTGCATTGCAAGAAACTCAAATGTCAAATAAAAAAAATGGTCCAAAATACAAACCAAGATGTGTATTGCAGTACTTGGCTTCTCCACTTGATCAGCAGTTTTAAATGTGTTTGCATTGCTTTAAGAACAAGGACACGACAGTCATTGTAGGGGTGATACACTGCTTTATTTACACACATTGAAATACTAACTTAAAAAAGATAGGTCAACAGTGAATTTGTATTTGTATAGGTTTGGCCCGTGAGCAGCACAACACTCATGAAAATTTCCTAAAGCTTCTATAGTCGCCAGGCTTTATCTAAAATGGACCGTAAAAATTGACACCTGCACGTAGCAATCTCAACTTTTCGTCAAAGATGTAAATTATAGGTCGGTTTTTTCTTGTAAAATTACAAAGCGTAGCTCTCTTTATGTAAAAAACAAGGCCAAGAAACTTGCCAGGGTCTACGGCGGGCAGCAACGCAGATGACGGGTTCAGTGGCGGGGTGTAATATAATATAATATAATAATATAATAATATCTTTATTCAACCCTGGAGGGTTGCTGCACCACAGAAAGGCCATTGGCCCATACCCGAGGCCTGTGGTGCCGCACTACTACATATTGTGAGAAAGAAACAAATAAATAAATAAATATGACAATGAAGCATGCAAGGTTTTTTTCCATGGAAGATCACTGCTGAAGGAAGTCCGATGCCTCCTTGCACCAGGCTTTAAGGTCCTCCTTCTCTTGGGGTGGACAGTCGGTCAGCATCTTTGGCAGCGAGCGCCAGAGGGTTACATACTTCACCAAGACAGAGTTCTGGTGACGCACAGTGCGACCGAACAGTGGCTGTAGCCCACCAAATCTAGTAAGGCGCAAGCTTTTAACCAGTGGGAGCTCCAAGTCTTTTGGGAGGAGGCTGTCAGCAAGGAGCCGGAGTGACGCAACCTGCCGGCGAAGTGCTAGGGGGTTCCACCCCACCATCCTCAGAAGTTCTTGCGTGGACAGGTCGCGGTAATGTGGCAGTCCAGGGGAAGCCTGGCACCGCAAGACTGTGTAGGCGGCACGCCGCTGCACACTCTCAAGGGACGCTTTCAGGGAATTCTGGTAAGGGTCCCAAACTGAAGCACAATACTCGAGTTGTGGGAGCACTAGAGCAGTGTACAGGTCCCGCAATGCACTGGCGCCAGCTCCTCGGGTGACTCGACGCACAAATCCGAGCATCCGGCGGGCTTTTGAGGTCACCTCCCCAATGTGCGGCGAAAAGGTTAATTTTGAATCTACTGTCACACCAAGAAGTCTTGCACGGTTAGTGGCGGGGAGTTCCTCTCCGTTCAGCTGGAAGCTGTGCTGTCTGGTGTTATGGCTTCTTGATGTGGTAATGAGGGTTGATGAGCATTTGTTAATGTTCAGGGGGAGCTTGTTTGCCACAGACCAATCATGGACGGTGTTGAGGTCGTCCTGAAGTTGCTGATACTGGGAGGGATTCTGGACTGGGTGCATAATTGTCAAATCATCTGCATACAAAAGGGGTGTGCACTGCAGGGAAGACGTCACATCGTTGATAAAAATGCTGAACTAAGTCGGCCCAAGTACACTTCCTTGAGGAATTCCCGACATGTTTGGCGTTCGTATTGATAGATGGCGCTACCTCCTTATCGCAACGACCATGCTTTATTAAAATGGATATATTTTGGAAATGTACCTTCGGTTAAAAAATAAATGCAAACAATAAAAGCAAAACATAAAGTAAAAAAATGGGTCTGGATAACGACGGCGCTTTTACTGCCAACGGATTTCGTCTGCTATCTTTCGCTGGTTGGCTGCACCTTCAGACGCTGGTCTCGACGCCATCTATCGATACGAACGGCAAACACACCCGCTACTGGACTTGGTCGTCTCGGTCGTCCCGTAACACAGAGAAAACAGGCGAAATCACTGGTAGAGCTTTAGAGCAAACAACAGCCCAGTGATTTTCCATCAAAACAGAGCAAAGGAACAAGTGTGTCCATCTTGTGGCATTCGACTTCCGCCGATCAACAAGACAACTCGTTTAGTTTAGCAGATGTGGTCTATCACCATCTTCTGCATTAACATGGCTGTATTAATCCATGTGTTGTAATAATGTGCAGAACATATACAGCCCAGCCAAATGTAGACAGTTGATGTTGACTACAACTAGCATGGTGGCGGCACCACTTCCAGAATGTGGAGCACTCAACAGCATCGAGTGAGTTACAGCGGTCGAGGAAAACCATTAGAAACTACTCATTTCTATGGGGAAACTTGTCGCAATGACGGGACAGTTGGGACCCTGCCGGTGACGGGACAGCTAGGACCGCTGCTCTTTTTCAGTCAAATGGTGCTTTGCTCCTCAAGTAAAACAGATTCGATTGGAAAGCCAAAACATCAGTTAGCATTCCGGAAAAGGTTTGTTTGTGGTTTTTGTCTCAAACCGAACTAGGGCGCAATTTATTGAATGGCAGTGTGCCGATCGACGGGTCTTACTCTTGCGAAACATTTGAAACGCACTTCATAGCACCACTGACTTCATTCGCTTGACGCTGATGTTTTAATGCAGTTGCGCATGTTTATGGGCTGCCTTTGCTCATTTGTTTTCAAAGAAGTGTGATTTTCGCTGCCCGTGTCCATGACATTCTGTGCCCGCACCTAGAGCTCTCCTCACATCGTAAGCATACCGACCCTATGTCCGTAAGTGGCTGTGTGGCTTGTCGATAGCTTCGGTGCAAGCGTGGAGTGGTTCGACAGTCCGACGCATCTTTCAGAAAAGGCTTCACCGGGAACGTCTGAAGTATCTTTCGACTCCACGTTCCGGGTACGTGTGACGTATCTTCAGATTCTGCGCACCGGGTACATCCGACGTACCTTTAGACAGAGCGAAAGAAAAGCAGTATGTTCTATGTCCACAAAAAAACAAACAATTTAGAGCAGCTGCACAATGCTGGTTCTGCAAGTAAACTCTATTTGCAACTCCAACGCCCTATAGGTGGCGGGGCGGTAGTTCCAAGATGGCGGAAGAGACGGGGATAGATTTTCCAGGATTTCCCGTGCGCCTGCTCGCTGACGCTGGTCAGCGCGCTAAAAATGATTTATTTGTCTACAAATGGGAAGCGGTTAGGACAGGATCATATTACAGGCGACGGAGATGTTGATGCGTGTTAGGAAAACGAGCGTGCTGATAATTAAAAGTTGTAGAAACCTCAATTTGCCAAGCTTTATGGTGGGCGAGCACGTTTTAGGCACTGGCCACGTCACTGTTTGTGGCAGAATATTTTTTAGGGTGACGAAGATATCATGTTTGCGCTTTGCCTGGCCATTAGTGGTATAAAAAGTGACCTGCACGCGGTGACCGTCGAGCTTTGGAAGAGCAGCATTCACACTATTGCTGTCTTCGTGTCACAGGCTCGCAACTCGCTGCTCATTGTCTCGGTTTTAGTGCATCGCAACACGTGATCAGACTGCTCTTTGGTAATTGATAGAAAGTTTGTTACCGCAGGTTACCATGCGGTGTAGCATTACAACCGGAAGCTCGCACTGTGCCTTTGAAGCACAATATTCAGCGCGCGCCAGGAGCGTTGCCGTGCCGGTAGCCAACGGTAGCCTGGAGCAACGCTATGCTTAAAATGACTATTAACATAATAGGCGTGTTTAGGGGTTTTATTTATTGCTCTATCAAAAATGAATATTTGAATATACCATACATTTCTTGTATCGTGTTATTTGCAACGCCAAAACTGCCCGTTCTAAGCTCTCGTCACGAGCAGCTGGCTAACACAGTCTCGCTTAAAATGCTTCGAGCATTTCTTTATTTGCTTTGTAATTACCTGAAAGCAAGTATGCATATTCTGTCTTTTGAAAGTGCTTGGAATAAATGGTCACGTTCCTTGTAATGTAACAGCCTTAAAACGCGAACCAATTCCCGGATGTGTATTGCTCGACATACTGTTGCGCGACGAGTTTTCTCCTACTTATGGTAAACACGGAGGCTTATTGCGGAGAAGGCGCCGTGTAACCGAGCTTTCGGTTGCACGTCAAAAGATCCCCAGGTGGTCGAAATTAATCCTCAGTCCTCCGCTGGGGCGTGCCAGATGCCCGTCGTAGGTTTGGCACGTAAAACTCCCAAATTTGACTTATGGTAAAAAATAGACTTCTCATAAACCGTAATATAATGCTGTACATTATTAGCGGGAGCGTTTGTCGTCACGTTGAGCATAGATTGAGCTGGCGGCCATGCACAAGACCAGAAATCTGCAGCATATGCGATATACAAAAAAAGTCCCCAATGAAAGTAGACATCCCGATCCTTCGTGCAACGCTGTTGCAAGGCGGAGCACAACAATTCCTATTTCAACGCGCTCACTTTTTTCGTTAAAACAGCTTCACGCATCAAGGTTGACGGTCCCTGCCACTGTTTCCGCGCCGCCGCCGTTGTCCGCGCTCCTCTGGTTCTCCATTTGTTCGCAAGAGGGCGAGCGGCGGGCTGGAGTTGCAAACAGTTTGTCTACATAGGTTTGGCACTCACTAGATAGCTCTGACGCGGGACAGATCCCGAACTTGCACCAGGTTGTGCAACCCTATGGCGGTCCATGACTCCCTCATCAGGACAACCCCGAAGGATAATGCTGTGAGGTGGTCCTTGCGTGCAGCCCTCCACTTTGCACTCTTGGCCTGCTGTTGACTGTTCCTTTCTAGTCGACGTGCCCCAGCTAGTGTAAGAACAAGTTCCTAGACAGACAACAGAAATTATGAAGTACTGTTAACCAGGTTACAAATAATATAGAATACACATTTATTTAAGTACCTTAACGACCCCCCTGGGAGGGTAACAACACAAAAAGAGTAGTACCATATTTACTTGCATAATTCCAAGAGCGCACTCCCACAAATCCAACAGGACACGGTCGCTCTCCACGGTGACGCAACTCGAATGGCGTTTGATTGTGAACTGCAGGACCTTGATACCTATCTTGACAGGTACAGGGTAGGCTCACGTCACTTTGTTTCAGCTAAGTGCGGGCGCATTTTGCCTTTGCCCGACATTGCTTTGACTTCACTCATTGTGTCAGTGAGCTCTCACTCACGACCATAGAAGTTCAGTGACACTTCCCAAGAGACGCGAATGCGGATTTTTCTATCGCTCTGGCAGCGGCAAGGCGGCATTGACAGAAATTTCTTTCGTGGGTACACACTATCATACAACCTTTCCCAATCCCAGAAAGCTGGTCGCCGTTTGTGAGTTCGACGGCTTCCGCAGAGTAGATGACATTCAATAACCGTTGCATGTCGTCTGCACCGGCCCTCTTTTGGGCAATTCGTTGCGTTGTGCAGGTGCCACAGCAAGCCCCTTTGATTACTGTAACCCCCTACTGGGAGCCTGATCAGCATCTTGGGTACTCACGCACGCTTCACATGCCCAATCCCAGTAGCTATGATTGGTTGACTCCGCGGAGACCGAGGCCCACAATGTTTGTTGGCAATTCCGCGGAAGACGAGGGACTCGCAATTGATGTCTAAAGCCTTCTCAGATTCATGAAGGCGGAAGACTGTGTGCCCACGAATGTAAATTTCTATCAATGCCATTTTACCGCTGCTACAGAGGTAGGAACACTCGCGTCCCTTGGGAAGCGTCACTGAACTTTGGCGGCAAGTAGGCCTGGTTCGCTGGCAGATGATGTCAGGTAACGGCAAAATGCGCCCACGCTTACCTGAGACAAAGTGCCGTTTATCGGTGCCAAGGTCTCTACAGTTGGCAACCAAACACCATTCGCGTTCTCTCCCCGTGGAGAGCGACCGTGTCCTGTCGCATCCAGGGGTACACACACGCTCTTGGCATCTTTGAAAACAGAGGGTCCACGACCTTGCTATTCTTTCTAGCACTTCCACTGCATTTAGGCGTGGCTGACACATGATACCACACTTGCCGTAAACCACACGGCTGTCTGAAACACCATCAACCGCTGCATAGTGCCGCCGGTACGACAGCGGCGATGCGACTGGCACGGACACAAAGGTGGTGGCATACCCATAGATGCAGAATAAGTATCTTGAATAGTAATATTACCTGGAGAAGCGAGGTCTCAGCATCACTGAGGCTCTGTGTTGCAGGCTCGTAGATGCTTGCCAATGAGAAGAGTACACGCCAACAAGGTGACCTGTTAGACACATCTCTGCTACAAAGAGCAATGTTGAGGCTTGTGTAAGTGGCGAACCCATGGGGACTCGTGGTTTGTTTGTACGAGAGAGGACTCCCCACAGGTACCATACCAAACTTGGACTCTGTACCCAGGATCTGGACAGTCCACAGGTGCTTCGCAAAGGGCAAATCTCCCAGGGCACAGAGGTCACTGCCCAGACGATGGATAGCATCCTGCATCTCTGACAGGTCCCTTGGGCATTTCCTTGCGTCGTAGAGCCTCGAGCCCTTCGGCTTCGAAGACCCCCCGTCCCGCACAGCTCTCCAGTCAACCTCGGCGACGCTGGTAGCTGGGATTTGAGACCCACGGGGACGCCGCCACTGCTGGGGAAGCTCGGTACAAGCCACCTCGGGGGGTGGCTCCGCGTAACCCTGCCTTTTGAGCGGTTCAACGAGCCTCAGCAGGGCCAACGCATAGTTGCAAAGGCCCTCCTTTGCGGCATACTCGCTGCCGTCCTCGGAAAACGTCGCCGTGACGCCGTACGGCCTGCCGGACTTTTTTTGGCTACGGTAGCAGCAGCCGCGCACCACGACAAACATAGCATGTCTGCACACACAATATACAGGCTTTGAGAATAATCCATATTGCGTAACACGCCATATCTGCTAATGTGAAATCATCAAACTTACCTACGAAGAAGAGACGCAGTTTCCAGCGATGACGCCTCCACGTAACTTTCCGTTACGAACTTGTAACTACACCGCTTGTTCCGCTCGCTCGTCTTGCGTGTGGCGTAGTAGCTGTCTACCTTCTCGGCCGTAAACGAACTGGGGATGGCGACTAAACTTTTAGCCCACGGCAAGGAATCGGGACGGCCAGCAGTGCTGGTGCTTGCAGTCGCAGCGGCCATGGCAGGCTGACTATACAGCATAATGGCGCCGCCTCTCCCCACCATAGTGGCCAGCCCTACTTTCGAGTATTGTCAAAGCAGCGTGTCAGGGTTGCCAAGAGCAATTTCGAAAAAGGTCTATAGTCTCATCGTTGCTGCAGCATGCTGACAGCTCTTCCTTGGCCTTGTTTTTCCATTTCAAAAGTCACATTTTTGATCTGAAGGCAGATATTCTTGCTTTGCATAAGATAAACCTTGGGTTTTCTGGAAGGGCTGAGAAGAAGTCGCGTGCGCTTTCCGCTCGCATTTTTGCGTGAAGCGTGAATTCGCAATGTGTCCTGCAGTTGCAAACAACACTCACACTGAGTGCCAGCTGTGTAGGGGGAACACCGAATGGGATGTCAAGCTCCCTGCATATCAATGTAGGTGCATTCAGGACGAAGATTTGGGTAGTTGTCCCCCCTCTGGTCCTTCCTCGCAAGCTTGAGGTCTGTGAAGGATACTCGTTTGTTGATAAACGTTGCTGGTCCTCCAGCAGCCGACAAGGGGTTTATTTACACATTTTACAATCTCACCGGCACTCAGCGCGGTACACTCTCTATGACACACAAAACAAGCATTCTTCGTCACAACACATCGTCCTCGTCGAGGGGCCCGGGGCCCTGGATGTCCCTCCTCGGGTCCACCCGGTGGCTCCATCTTGCGAGGGATTCGGAAAGCCGACCTTGCACCGATGCCTGCTCCTCTCACGGGGGATAGCGATGCGATCGGTCGTGCAATGTTCAACAAGGTCGTTGAACACTTGAAGTGCTGTTGTGAGGTTTGAAGTGCTCATGATTTCGGAGGCTTGAAGTTTGTCGCAAAGGTCCACGAAGCTCTCCCAGGAGAATGTTTTAATAGAAGCTTTTCAGAATCTCATGACACGGTAATCGTCCTTGCTTGCAATTGCTCCACTTCATGTACCCGACTTGGTTGCAGCTTCAAAAACACTACAGCTTTTGTCCCAAAAGCATCTGTAAGGTGGGTCCCACAGGCACTGTTCGGAAGAACCGCTTGTCCCACAGTTGAAAGAGTGCCGTTCAAATACAGGGAAGGGCCTGTCGTTGCTGACAGGTTCTCACCTTGTTTACTTTCTGGAGACATTTTTCCCTCCTCCAGTGCGTCGGTTGCAGCTTGCACAGCATGAAGTGAACACACTTCCACTGGTTTGGTTTCCTTTTCTCTTCCCACAGCTTAAGTTAGGTCATCCCTACAACAGGTCCGTGCAGGTTCTACTGGTAGGGCGGTGTCAACTACTGCGGTGCACTCGCTCTACCACACACACACGCAAACACAAACACAAACAAAAAAGTCCGGAGCTTACTTTTGTTTGTTGCTTGCGGCGGCTCATGTGTTGCTCACGGCGACTCGCGACAACTCGCGACGTTGCTTGCGTCTTTGTACTTGGTGTTTTGTCGCTTCACCCGTCTCCACCTTCTTTAGTTTCTTGTTGTCGTCATTTTATAGCAATGTCAGTGAGGTATTGTTGCAAATTCGCGAAGATGTCTAAAAAGCTGACAAGGCTTCGGACGACGATGACATGTCCGGAAGTTCTGACGATGATTAAGTTTTTTGCATCGCCCTGTGATTTAGCTGAGAGTGCTGTAAATAAAAGGTTTGTTTCTTTCTTTTGCCCAAACTTTCCTCTGTTCTTAGAAAGAAAGAAAAACAAAAGAAGAAGGTCAACCTATATTTGAATTATTTTTTTAAATTCTCGGTGGGTTCAATAAATCGGGGTTGACCTATTTTCGGGTAACTACGATAGTCTGTTTGTCTTTCTCTCACTCGGCGCATGGTTATCTGCGGCGATTGCTGCTACCTTTCGTTGCGTGAACTTCCTCGGCGACTGTGGTGCCTTCTCCGAATACCTTCATTTGAAGCTTCGTTGACTTGTGCCGCTAGGCACACCTGGACAACTTTTTTAACCGTCAGTTTCTCTAGTTTCAGAATGTCTGCACGTGCTTTCTCGTTGTTTACTCCACAGACGGTTTGGTCACGAATCATCTTCTCCTTTTCTGTTCCGAAATTGCAGTCATGGATTTTCAGTTTCAGGTTGGTTGGGGAGTTGTACTTGCATGCGGAAAACGCAGCGTGAGTACACTTTGTTCTGCTTCGGCAGAAAGTGCGCATCCAGTAGCTTCACAACGTTGTCGAAGTCAAATTCAGAGTGTGGTCTCGCTTGCTTTCTCTCTACGAACTCCAAAGAATTGTAAGTGTCTAGCATTCTTGGTCCTCCAACTGTGAGAAGTGTGACTTGCCTTTCCGATGTTGATCCAGCAACATCGGGTACTTTCAGCTATAGTGTGAAGGCTTGTTTGAATGTGCACCATTGTTCTGCAGCGTTGCTGGCGTTTTCAAACTTCGGCGGCTGTGGGATCCTGTTTATGCTTGCTTCTGTGGTCACGGCGGTCGCAGTTCTAACATTGACTATTGCCGCTTCTGACACTATGTTTGAAGGTCATGACATTGAACGCAAATAGTTTAATGTTTGCTAAAATGTTACAACGTGGATGGTATCTGCGCCCGACATGCTCGCGGGCTTCTTTTCGTCTCTGTGAGTAGGGGGGGAAAGGTCCGTACGCCACGGCATTCCTTGGGTGGTGGAGCCGTCTGTCGGCTTATCTTGTAACAGCAACCCCAATATGATTGACAAGTGGCCCTGAGTCTGTGAGCTACAATGCCGTTGGCATCAGTGCAGGTTTTTAGTGAGGGTGTCGTGTACTGGTATTTTTTTATATGTTCCCCTTGGAATTTTCTTCTTAGGGGGGGTGGCAACATTGCTAAATATGACAAGAAGTAGTTCTTTGCTTTTAATGCTTCATTTCGTTTGTTCTTTACAGCCCCACATAGACACTGATTCTGAAGTTGTGAGTATGAAAAGACGTGGTTGCGTGTGCGAGTGAAATAAGAAACGGCCTCCCGAGAAGGGATAGTTAGATCCTGCTTCCTAGATCTGGGACGGATCCAGAACTTCATTTTGGGGGGGGGGGGGGGGGGGGGGCGGCGACCCATGTCAAATTGCCCTGCGAGAAGGGGGGAGGGGGGTCGACGTTGCTTGGGGGGGCGGCCGCCCCCCGTCGGCCCCCGCCCCCTTCTTGGATCCGCCCTTGTCCTAGATGCAGTGGCCTGTGAGTGATTGAGTTCTCCCGCTGTATCCTTTGTACACATTGTGGCTTATCTGCAGCTTATCTTTCACCCGAAGTTCGTACAAAGAGGCTTCTTCACTCTTTTTTCATTGTGACCCTCACATTTTCATACCAATGCATTCCCATCCAGGCTTCCGACAGGGGGCAGCAGTTATTAAAAAAGAAGTCAATTGAAGTTATTAAAAAAGAAGTCAAGAAGTCAAAGAAGTCGACCGAAGAAACATGCGTCGCGCGGTGGTTGGTTTCGGCGACGATGAGATCAACGGGCTCTTCATCAAAAAACTGAAGGAAATACTCCACAACTCCGCCACCCTCGTCTAGTTGGACGTTGATACGAGGAGAGCCAGTGAAATGAAATCGAGGCGGTGCACGAGGGATATTATTCATGTCAATTTTTGACCAAACACGTGAAGAGTTTATTTCGTCAGTGCTCTCGTCTTCACTTTCATCGGAAGTGAGGTAGTCTATCCAAGACTCACCGGAGTCAGAGTCCAGTTCCACATCGCTTCCACTTGAAGAAGACGAAAAAGTTTCGAGTCCACAGTTTTTCTTCTTTTTTTTGCCCCACGTGAGGAATCGTCGACTCATCCTACGTGGGCCGCCATTTTTAAAGCACAGGGCAGCCAGCGCAACAACAAAAGACCCTGTGAAAAAAATTCTTTCTACGAGCTCCTTACGCCATCTGGTGCCTTTTCCAGCAAGTGCAGAGCAACGGACGAGCTCAAGACGTCCTTAGGATCATATCACCAGCGAAACTATTTTGGACGAGCTGTGCTCATCTTCCGTATTTTTTGCAAGTACATGCCTGACGAGCTGAGCTTGTCTCCCGTACGGAAAGGGTTAAGCTAGGATGGCCCCGACTGCCCTGTTGCTAGCACCTACTTGAAGTATATATGGTCGACTCGGGTCTGGGCTTCACAGCACTGGACTGCTGCATATTCTCTCCTTCAGTGCGCGGAATGCGCTCTTGCATGACGGCGTCCACACTACTTGCTCGGGTTCGGCCTTGCGTGTGAGGTCTGTAATCGGCGCTGCCAGCAACGCGAAGTTCTCAATGAAATTCCGATAGAAGTTAACCAGTTCCTAGAAGGAACGGACCTCTGTTTTCATGTAGGGCCTCTCGATGGCATGGATGGTCTTGATGTTTTCAGGGCCAGGTTGTGCTTTCCTGTTTCCAATCATGTGCCCGAGATTGAGCACTTTCCGCTTCTCAAACTGGCACTGGTTTATTTTTAGAGTCAGACCCTCTTGATGCAACTTCTCCAGGATGGTGCACAAATGCGGCAGG